GGTGGTGAACATGATGTAATCTATGCAGAAATAGAAGTATAATGATGTACACCTGAAATTTTTACAATGTTATAAACCAATGTTACTGCAAAAAAATAAATAAATAAAATAAAATAAAGTATATTTAAATTATCACAAGAGGCTTAGAATATTAGGAGTGTGTGTTTCCATTTAACTGCCCTAAGTCAGACCTTTGTGATCTGTCACCAGTATGACCAGAATGGCCATTTCCTGAGCTCTAGGACTCTTGTCACTCCTCCCGCGAATCCTCTACAGGTGTGGTTTCCAATGGTAAGAGGAAGAAAATATTAAAATACAAAAAAGATATATATCTATAGGGGCCGGCCCAGTAGCATAATGGTTACGTTTGCGTGCTCCGCTTCCGCGGCCCAGGGCTCGCAGGTGTGGATCCTGGGTGCAGACCCACGCACCGCTGGTCAAGCCATGCTGTGGCAGGCGTCCCACATGTAAAATAGAGGAAGATGGGCACAGATGATAGCTCAGGGCAAATCTTCCTCATCAAAAAAATATATATATACGTATATATATGTATCTACTCCTTTTTACTTTTCTATTTTGTGTGTATCTTTTTGGTTTTGTTTTTTTTTGTGTGAGGAAAATCAGCCCTGAGCTAACATCTGCCAATCCTCCTCTTTTTGCTGAAGAAGACTGGCCCTGGGCAAACATCCGTGCCCATCTTCCTCCACTTTATATGGGATGCCGCCACAGCGTGGCTCGACAAGCGGTGCGTCGGTGTGCGCCCGGGATCCGAACCGGGCCGCCGCAGTGGAGCACGTGCACTTAACCACTTGCGCCACCGGGCCGGCCCCAAGTATGTATCTTTTGAAAAGCATAAAATGTGTTAATACAGAGATCAAATGTATAATTTGTAACTATTTGTCTATGGAGGGTGGGCTGTAATTCTTTTAGTTGATGGAGGGACATAATAGAAAAAACTAGGAGACTCTGCTTTAGAGCAGTGCTTCTCAAACTTTAATGGGCATTTGGCCTGGGAATTTTGTTAAAATGTAGATTTTCATTTACTAGGTCTGTGAAGCCTGAAATTCTGCATTTCCAACAAGCTCCCAAGTGATGCTGATGCTCTTGGTCCACGGATCATTCTTGGAGCACAAATGTCTAGCTGACTGCCAGAGTTGTGCCTAAAACACACATCGATTCCTATTGTTCCCTCACTCAGTGCCCTTGGTGCCTTTAGCACAGTTGGTTCTCAAGAGGATTTTATCCTCTGGGGGACATTTGGCAATGCCTGGAGACATTTTCAGTTGTCACAACTTGGGGAAGGTGCTACTGACATCTAGCGGGTAGAGGCCCGGGATGCTGCTAAACATCCCACAATGCACAGGACAGCCCCCACAACAAAGAGTTATCCAACCCAAAATGTCAATAGTGTCAAGCTTGAGAATCCACAGTTTAGACCAAGTTTAAATTCTTAGCAAGGTTTTCGAGGTCTTCCACAACTGTTTGCTTTTTCCTTCCAGGTGCTGTGTGACTTGGCTCACATTCGTCCATCTACCTGGAATGTCATTCCCAGCCTTTTCTACTACAGGGACTCCTCTGCATCCTTACATACTCAACTCAAATGTCTCCTTCCCTTCAGGAAGACTTTCTCAACCTTCCAAATAAGAATTTAAACCCAGCACTCTGTTTATATTTCTCTTACAGCATCCCCCCAAGTCAGCCTTGTATTGTAGCGATGCCCAAGGCTGCCACACCTACACTGGGAACAGCTTGAGAGAACATGCCCCATCTATGGGCCTTTGTGTCTCCTTAGGGCTGAGTACAGTGCTTTGTGCCCTCTGTGAGACTTATTAAAGGACTATGAGTAGAATGGATGTAGTCTTTGAATTAATTTTAAATTCACAGATATTTCTTGGGGGAAAAGAAACAAATTGAAAAGGATCATATTTAGATTTGCCTTAGCTAAGGACCCCTGACCCGGGCATCTCCCTGAGCTCCCTTGGCAGAAAGGACAGGACCAGCAGTTTGACTGAGTGAGACTGTGATTCAGCAAGATTGTTCACAAGCTTCTTAATTGAATAGTTGTCCCATTACTGTGATTCTAGATGGGGACAGGGCAGAAACGGGACATGCCCAGTCACAATCAACCTATGAAAGAATTTGGGTTGATGAGCTTGGGGCTTTTAAAAGTTCTGCCTGTGAAGGCCCTTTGGTAACAGGGTAGGGAAGAGTGGGCGGGCCCCGTGCTCTCTGGTTTGCCTCAAGCCCCACCTCTCGCTGCATTCATCCAGGTAAAATACTTAGAAAAGGGTGTGGTAAGGCCCTCCAGAAATGGTAGCTGTTCTGGTTTCACGTGGCCCCCATGGCTCCAGAGGCATTAGAATTTGCCACGCTGCTAAGTCAGCCGTCTACAGCTCGCAGGCCAGGTCCGGCCCACTCACTGCCTGTTTTTCCTGTGGCCCATGAGCAAAGAATGGTCTTTAAATTTCTAAATAGTTGAAAAAAAATCAAAAAAGAATAATATTTCCTGACGTGAAAATTATATGAAATACAAATTACAGTGTTCATAAATGAAGGTGTAGTGGCCCTTGTTTATGGGTGCTTTTGCGCTCCAAAGGTGGAGGAGAACATGGTTTATGGCGGAGATCGCATGGTCTACGAGCCTAAATTCTTCACTCTCCGGCCCTCTGTGGAGAAAGTTTGCTGACCCCTGGTCCACGTGGGGTGCGCCACAGCTCTATGTGCTCGCGATCTCTAGACTGAGCTGAGCTTGACAAACGGGAACCTGCAGCTGTTCCCTTTGTGTGAAACCACCCGTTGACAAGTCAGTGAGCGGACATTACCATGCATTAGGTTGCTGAAGAAGAAATTGGTATCATTCCTGTCCACTTGGTTCGGGTCTAGAGAATAGGTGTTGATATTTTCTTCAAAGTACCAGGATTTGTTCTCATCAAATATCATGAAGTGGAGAACACGGTGAACTATGCTGGTGGTGTTTCTGCGACATACGATCAAAGGGCCGACCAGTCCACTGTTAAGATCCTGAACAGGCGAAGCAAGATTGTTAACTGTGCCCACAGCTAAAGACTCCCCATCAATAGAAAGAGTAGAATCAAGTTTTCGTTTTAGTGAGGTCATATCCTGAGTTTTTAATTATTAGGATCCTAAGTCTGAGAGTAACGAACAAAGTGTTTGAAATGTTAAATCCTTGATTAAAGAAAAATGATCATCTCTCATTAGAGCTGAAGTCTAAAGAGAACAACAAACTCTTGAAAGGCATTTTAGACACGTTCCTCAGTGGATTTAGCTCTATTTTTGAAATTTTAATTAAAAAAAGGACCTTTGGTTTTAATTAGAATTCCTGGCATTAGAGTTGCCTGGCGAGAAGCCGGAAGGTCTGGACCCTCTCCTGTGCGCCTCTGCGCGGCAGCAGCTTCTGGCGGGAGCCTTGGCTCGTTTATACTCATTCTGGTTTTGGATTCGGTGTCTGGGTAGATTCTTGTTCCAGGCATAGAGTGGGCCAAAACAACTAAAAGTTCCAAGATGGAACACTTTTGTATTGTTGAATGCAAATAAACTGGAACTCCAGAGTAGTTTTTAAACACTATGTAATATGTATGTATTTATTTCTCATTAATTATAGAATTTTTAAATTCTATACTTTGTTTTCTGTAACCCAAAACCAATTCAATGAAAGAAAGAAGATATTATTATATAATTATATATAGTTTCCAATTTACAGTGACATTTTGGAAAATATCATAAAGCTAAGTAATCCTAATATAATAATTTATTTTGCTCTTGAAAAATGAAAACTTGTGTAGGATTAAAAGCTAAGCAGTATTTAGGTTACTGAAGAGAAAGTTTACATGGAACTAAGATTTTTTTTAAACAAAAATAAACTCCTTCTTCCTTATACTATAATTTCTAGGAGGAGATAGAATAAAAACTGATTTGATTTAAAGTTTACCTTAACCACGTCCACAGTTGAATAGTAAAACCAAGGTATGCACTCAAAGTCCTTTGAGGTAGGACCAGTTCTTTCAGGAATCTCCCAAATGTATGTTTGGATCTCTCCTAAAATAGGCAAATACAATGCATTTAAATCACATCTTTTAAATCACACTTCTCTGTGAAGAACCAGGTATCAGCTATACAAATATTAGGCAGCACACTTCTGGCTCTGCTGCTCCCGGCTCTGTGATCTCAGTCCACGTGTTTCTGTTTTCTGAGCCTCTGTTTCCTCCTGCACATGAAATGGGGATTTAGGGATTAGAGGAGATGGTGCAAATGAAGCCCTTGGTATTGCATCAGCCGGGTCACAGGGCGAGTTGACGTCCCTCTCAATGCTGGCTATTATGTTTTCAGGGTTACTGGATCACAACCTTATAGCGATTCTGCCATTGAAAAATGTCGATCACTAAATATCTAACGAATTCATTCCGCAAGTATTTATTGTAGTGAAGATAACTGAGGCTTTGAAACGTGCCAGACTTGTTTTGAACCCCAGCTCTGACCCTCCCAATTTGTGGATCACATGCACCGCCTCCCTGCCCCCGAAGCTGTTTGCATTAGCCCTACAGAATCTGAATCCTCTTGACTCTTGCGGGAATGTTCTTTTGGTTCCCAGTCCCCACCTCTCGCTGCATAATCCTACATCTCTCACTTCCAGAGGCTTCAATTAATTTTCCCAAGTACTTGTGACATAGTCTTTCTCCTCCATTAACCAATCCCATCCCCAGCCTCCCCGATTCCCCATCTTTAACAATCTACTTTGTACTAACCATCCCCTTCCAGCACACCACCCAGTGCCCAGGGCACAGTTGGCACTCAGAAGCTTTTGTGGAATGCGTGTAATGTGATTCTTTCCTGACTAATCAGAACAGAGTGCTGACTTGCAAACTCTCTTGGTAGGAGATTCATATTGGTGAGTCCAGCATAGGACTGTCTGTTTTTAAAATCAAAAGGGATAGGGCCGGCCCAGTGGCATAGTGGTTAAGTTCGCATGCTCCACTTGGGCGGCCCACGTTTCCTGGTTCAGATCCCAGGCGCAGACCTACATACCGCTTATCAAGCCATGCTGTGGCAGGCGTCCCACATGCAAAGTGGAGGAAGATGGGCACGGATGTTAGCCCAGGGCCAATCTTCCTCAGCAAAAAGAGGAGGATTGGCAACAGATGTTAGCTCAGGGCTAATCTTCCTCACCAAAAAAAATAAAAAATAAAAAGGGAATATTTCACCTACCATCAAAGTCTACCTTCAGTCCCTCTGCCCCACAAATCTTCCCTTTCTGAATTTGGCTCTTTCCTTGACACCCTTAATTCCCAGAACTACTTGTTTTGGTGGGCAACCATGGTGGACATTCTGGCTGCCCCTCTCACATCCCCCTTTAAAAATGAAGGTCTTGTTGCTCCACCTGGTGTCAACCCCCTTGAAGACAGCCTTGGCTGAAGAGAGCCACCTCACCCAAGCCTGCATCCCATGACTGAGGCAGGGGCATGAGGGCCCAGCTCTCTCACCCCAACTCGGGACAGCTGAGGGCCCCCTATCTTCAGAACTTCTCATCTGCTCAACTTCTCCCCCTGCCCAGTTCTGCTTCTTTCTCTTTCTTTGCACAGTCGTCGATCCCAAGAGCACTACCTGCACACAGATCTTGATTTCAGAGTCTGCTTCCTGGGCATTGATATTAAAAAGTGCTCCTTTTCTTCTGAGTTGAGAATGCCAAATGGCATGCTGTATAGTGGTGATGCCACAGAGGTTTATCACTTCCTCTTAGTGGCTTAGTAGGCCTCTCTCCCCTACCCCCTCCCTCACACACAGCATCTTGTACTCAACTCCTACTTTAGCACTTGAGTTGGAAAGATTGAACATAGCATCAGAACACTTGGCAGCTGGACAGGTGGAGAGGTGGGAGGGAGGGTGGCCCCAGAGGAGAAACTGTATACACTGGGGAGCTTTGCTCATGATGCCCTACCCTGGAAGCAAACTCAGATTTGCAAAAGGACCTCCTCTCCCAGACTCATCCTTCACACCCTTCTTACTAGTCCACTGGTCCCTCATCTGGACCTAGACTGTATTTAGGAAAAACATTAGCCCCACAGTCCTGCATAAAATCTCTAGGGCTTTTCTTTGTCCCAAAGCAGTTACCTGGCTGTGTTGGAACAACAGTGGAAGAATTTGTTCTCACTCCATGAGCATGAATAGAATATGGTCTTGAGGCCTTATTTTTAAAGATAATTCGGAGTTTTTGACCAGGGTTGAGAAGTATTAAAGGACCTAAGGAATATAAAAAGGAAAATGCGTGGATAATTGTTATTTATTTTAAACGATGAGTCACCTGTCCTCGTAAGTATTTATACAGTGACTTATTCTTGTCCCTTTCCCTAACATGTGGCCAAATGAAACACAAACAACATTTAACAAGTGGACCATTGCTGATCTATGCAACATGGTTCTTGCCTGGAAAATTTAAGCCATCTTTATAAGCTCTCGCTCTAGAAAACTTACCTTGATGAGCATCAGTGAATGCCTATGAACACACACAGTTTAGAAGAACTCTGTTTCCTTTCTTGACCAGCCTCATCATTTAAGCCTTTGATTCTTCCTCCTTTTCCCTGGTGGAGGCAGGGAGGAGCTGCCACACTTTTTATTGACCCAGGGTGCTTTTCTCTCTCACAGATTAAAGATCCCTTCATTTTACTGTTCTTCCCTCCCATCCCAGGCCAAGAAATGCGGGTGTAAAATTTGTTACAAATCTTCTTTCTATTTGGAAGCAGACTGTATTGATGGCTCTAAAAATTCTGAAACAGAGGTGGTTTTGAGATGGACTAAGCAGTAAGAACTCTCCTCAAACTCGAGCTGTAATTACTGTAATCAGAGCCTGGAAGAGCCCTTCTGGACACTAGATGCTAGCTAAAGACAGCACCTCTTTGCCCCACGGCAATTCCTCCTCCCCAAACACTCTGCTTGCTTCTCCTTCTCCGTAAAGTGTTTTCCTTTTCTGTATAAGTAATAATGGCATCTAAAGGGTCATAGTGTGTTATTTATCTTGGTGCGTTTGGCCAGAATCCTACAGAAAACAAACATCCTGCTGTTACTACAGATAGGGGCCCACCTAACAGCAGTGAGAACCGGGTAGCACAGACCTCCCTCTTGGGGTCCCAGAGAGACAAGCTCAAGAGGCCACTGAGGAGCCAAGAAAAATAAAAGTTCCTCCTCCTCAGCATGTAAATCCATCTCCACACCAGAGAATGGCCTCCAAAGACACACAGACACCAGGACCCGAACAGGATTTGAGCTTATGGAAATGCCGTGTGACTTCTGGAAATACTATGCAACATACAGAAATGCCACACGACATAGGAACATCATGTGACCTATGGACATGCCATGTGACTTCTGGAAATTCTTTGTAACTTATGGCAATGTTACATGTGGGTGCTTGGGGGTAAAGAAAGGGCTGTAATTTTCCTCACTCTTGCACAGAAGATGAAATTAAATCTTAACACTTTAAGTTTTTAAATTAAACACAAATTTAAATGAAGAATTCCCCATCCTCACTAGAGTAGTGCTCCTGGGCTTCGTTTTAATTTCAGTGAAATTATCTCTAAATGCTACTTCTGAGGTCCTTCTAGAATTCTTGGATTCTGAGGGCAAGAAACCAAGTAATCTGAAACTGACCATATTAATTTTCTATGGTCTCTTTATTTTCCATGAAACAATACTTGAATCAATTTTCTTTTCACAGTAAAAGTGCCTATCAGCAGACAAATTAGAGTTAGAATTACAGGTACTTTCAAACTGGTGCAGCCACTATAGAAAACAGTATGGAGATTCCTCAAAAAATTAAGGATAAAACTACCATATGATCCAGCTATTCCACTGCTGGGTACTTATCCAAAGAACTTGAAAACACCAATTTGTAAAGGTACATGCACCCCTGTGTTCATTGCAGTGTTATTCACAATAGCCAAGACTTGGAAGCAACCTAAGTGCCCATCAAGGGATGAATGGATAAAGAAGATGTGGTATATATACACGGTGGAATACTACTCAGCCATAAGAAACCGATGAAATCCAGCCGTTTGTGACAACATGGATGGACATTGAGGGTATTATGCAAAGTGAAATAAGTCAGAGGGAGAAGGTCAAATGCCGTATGATTTCCCTCATTAAGTAGTAGATAATAACAACAACAAACAAACACATAGAGACAGAGATTGGATTGGTGGTTACCAGAGGGGAAGGGGGGAGGGAGGAGGGTGAAAGGGATAATTCGGCACAAGTGTGTGGTGATGGGTTGTAATTCGTATTGGAGTGGTGAACATGATGTAATCTATGCAGACATAGAAGTATAATGATGTACACCTGAAATTTTTACAATGTTATAAACCAATGTTACTGCAATAAACAAAAAATTAAAAATATATATATATAAAAAAACCAAAACAAAGAAAAAGAATTACAGGCACTTTCCTCTGTCAAGGTGGAGGCTGACAAGATCCTCAATGCATGAACAATCTCTAGTGGCTGAGGACAAGAAAAACCCCCAAACCAACCTACAGTATATCAATACCTAGTATATCCAGATGTTTGTCATCTTCATTTCTTTTTGTTTGATTCATGAATGTGATATCATCATATTGACGGTATACGACTTTCTTGTATTTGGACCCAAGAAACATCCCAGTTCTATCCAAATATATGTTTGTGTTGCTTTAAGAAAACAAAAACAAAACCAAAAAACCATGAATTAGTTAACTTAACCCTTAAATTAGACAAATTCCCATATGGAAGAACTTCTTATTGAAAGAATGCAATTTATTAATATCTAGAGGCTATTTTACCTTGGAAAGTAATAATTCTTTTTTAAAAAATATATTAATTCCGGTAAGACTGTTAATATTCATTCTGCACTTTAAAACATGTTTTCAGGATGAAATTTTAGTTTTGACGAATGAATAAATAGTAAGAGAGAAAATCAGAGAAAGAAATCAAATTTTACAAAAAGAGAAAAATCAGAGGCTTCAGTTTGAGGTTCCCAGATGAATAGAGATGGACAGAAAGAAGTGAAGACAAAAGGAAAATCTGACTGATTCCACATGTTAAATGCAGCTGCAGTGATGTTTATTATGCCTTAACGTGGTGAGACTGGATGCTAACACGTGCAGGAAGACAGGACGCAGGAAGCGAAGAGCGACACAGGGGGAAACAGCACGGAAGAAGTTATGTAGATATTTAGCCGAGTTTGAAGTCATTTATAATTGAAGATATCACACGCACACATTTTGAAGTTATTTGTAATTGAATGTATCCTAAACACACACACACACACACACACACACACACACACACACACACACACGAGGGGCTGAAAGGAAGGGTGGAGCACTACAGAGTGAACTCTTTCTAATTAGAGACTGAAGTAATCGCCATACTTATTTCCTTGTAGATGATGCAGTTCCTTCTCCCACTTCCTGCTTGGAGAAAAATCCCACACGATTTCCTCAGCTGCGATATAAATAGTCTTCTCTTCCTGGCACTGTTTTAGATCAAGGCTGGGCTCTGAACACTGCCTCACGTGGTATTTATGCTTCATGCCTCCTAGATAGTGCTCTGTTGTCATACAAACCACATTAAAAATTCCTGGAGGTGAATAAGAAAACAATGCTTAACACTTTGCATTCAGATAGATTTCTCTGTGATGTCATCTATAAGATATTTACCCCCCCAAAGAAATACAGTAAGACAGTTCATTCATTCTTTCATTAATTTGACAAATATTTGTCGGGTATCCTCTTCATGCTGGGCATATTTCTGAGGCACTGGGGAAACATCAGTGAACAAAACAGTTAAAAACCCTTGTCCTTACAGTTTACATTACAAGGTGTTGTAGAGACAGACAATAATCATAGTGAGTAACTTTTATGTGTGTTGGAAGGTGATAAGTGATATGGATTTAAGAAAAAATTAAGAGTCTAAGGGGGACTGTGAATTCTGGGTGTGTGTGTGTGGGGTTAAGAGAGCAATGAGCAGTGTTTTATAGGGTGATCAGGGTAGGCCTTGATGGGAGAGTGACATTTAGCAGAAGACTCCTGAGAGGTGAGGTGGATCTAGGGGAAGAGCAGTCCAGGCAGAGGAAACAGGCAGCAAAAGCCCCAGCCGGGAGCCTGTGTGCTGTGTCTGGAGACCATCTAAGACGCCTGTGCGTCTGGAGCAGGGTGGCAGAGAGGGCTAGGAGACAAGCCTGGGGGTGGAGGGCTGGGTCTCGGGGTTCTTGTGGGCCACTGAAAAGTCTGCAGCTTTCACCCAGTGAAATGGGGAGCCACTGTGGGGTTTGAGTGGATGAGCGTGATAAGGACACTCTGGCGACTATGATGAGAACAGACCGGAGTGGCAAGGGTGGAAGGAAGGAGGCTGTTAGGAGGCTATACAACACTCAGAGAAGATGGTGGAGGCTTGGAGCAGAGAGGTAGCAGTGGATGGAATGAAAGGAGTTGAAGGGAATCAGACTAACACGTTAAAAACCCAAAACGGCGACCACAACAAAAACTCCAGCATGGTTCAGACCAGTGAATTCCATGTGAACTCCAGTTGTCTTTCTTTTATTTTGGTAACTTTATGCCCACCACGTTCTGACACTGCCTCTTATTGTCACCTTCATCAGCACTAATGCCCTTTCAACTCTGTACATATTTCTGTTGTCACTATTACTTTCTGTGGAGGATTGAAGAAGACTGACAAGGAAGCAAAACTTTCAGACTCAAAGGGTTTGGGAAAGAGAGTTTGTTTAGAATGGAAGAACTGCCATATAGCCCAGTGCTTGACACAGAGCGGGCATCTCTCCACGTTTACCGCAAGTGATATTGTTTAGGAAAGAGAATGAGGAGCAGACAGTTTCTTTTTCTTTTCTTTTTTTTTTTTTTTGGTGAGGAAGATTGGCTATGAGCTAACATCTGTTGCCAATCCTCCTCTTTTTGCTGAGGAAGATTAGCCCCGAGCTAACATCCGTGCCCATCTTCCTCTACTTTATCTGTGGAACGCCTGCCACAGTGTGGCTTGATGAGAGGTGCGTAGGTCCGAGCCTGGGATCCGAACCTGCGAACCCCAGGCCGCCAGAGGGAGTGCATGAACTTAAGCACCACGTCACTGGGCTGGCCCCCAGACAGCTTCTCTTTAAGTTCAGGAAAACATCCACAGGGGAAAGGAGAGGAAGAAGTAGGGCAGGGACAGGGACGGACTTTGCCACTGAGCCAGCGCACACAGCAGAGAAGAGAAAGAGGGCAGAGAAAGAGCTTTCTTTCTTTCCTCCAACTGCTCTTAAGCTCAGGTTTTGTTTGTTCGAAAGTGAAATAACAAATTTTGAAATGTGGAAAATGTAGCTGGATGAATCTGTGGTATCACAAAGAGTTAAGGTACCAATACCGGGTAGCTGGTTTACTGTGTAGCTGGGATTTGATTGGTGCCAGGAATTTTTGACCAAGATGAATGGATTTTTTTTTTTTCTGCTGAGGAAGATTCTCCTGAGCTAACATCTGTTGCCAGTCTTCCTCTTTTTGCTTGAAGAAGATTCACCCTGAGCTAACATCCGTGCCAATCTTCCTCTGTTTTGTACGTGGGTTGCTGCCACAGCATAGACACCGATGAGTGGTGTAGGTCCGCACCTGGGAAATGAAGCCGGGCTGCCGAAGTGGAGTGCACCAAACGTAACCACTAGGCCACAGGGCTGGCGCCCTGCTTTTTTTTTTGGGGGGGGGGGTGAAGGTGGATCTGCAGGATAAAAGAAGGAGCTAACATCTTATTGAAAGACTAACATATGCCAGGCACTTTACTCTATACTACGTCTATCTCATCTGACCATTGTCTATTCCTTTTTGTGGATTACAAATTATTACAATCCTTGTTTTACAAATGAAGGAATTAGGTTCAGAAGGGAGGCTCGGCTTTTCTGATCCCCCAACAATTCTCTGATATGAGGTGTCTTTAGAAAAAATGTTGCCAGCAACAATCAGCCTCATTGAAGTCAAAACATTTTTCTAGAGAGCAGAGCTATCAAGGAGAGGAGTAGAGAGAGGGAGGCACAGGGAGGGGGTAAGGTAGAAGCCGGAGGAAGGCCTGGGAACAAACGGACAGGAGAGTAAGAAATGCAGCAGATAATAGGATGAAAACAAGTTAAAAGGCTGCAAAGCCTCTTCATCGCTCTTGAGGAGTGTGGGCTGATTTAGAGCCTGGAGCCCAGGAAGAGAAAACCAGGAGAGCCAAGGGGATTTTTACGTACAGGAAAATGATACACTAATGCTCCTATAAAGTAAATGGAGCAGTGCAAAGGTTTTCCAAGCACTGTTTGTATAAGTTCCGTTTGTTTTTCCGTACAAACAGAAAATTCAGGGCATATAAAAACACTGCCTTTTCATACTTTGGACGTGTTTTAGGCCGAAGAAGATCCAATACTCACCTGTGGAATCAGGTGTCATAAGAAGTGTCTGGGAGTTGTGGGGAAACACAGCTAGAGTGTCCTTCCTTGCTCCTAAGGAAGTGAAGGTATTTCCTGAAAAATATATCCCATGTAGGTCGTCCTGTGATCCCACACTAAAGACATGCCATGAAACCTTGTCTCCTAAGCACATGTCCAGTCCGGGCAGATTTCCGTACATGAAGCCGTTTATGGCTGCATATGACATTGGTGACAAAGAAAAGAAAATTTAATTTACTGGTATTTGACATCTTTTGAAATTCAATGAAGGACTAATCATAAAGCAGTTCATCTATGTAATAATCTCACGGTTACCCGAGACAACTCTTTCCTTTTGGATTTGAGGGAACTAAGGCCAGAGAGGCCATTACTTCTCCAGTGCCATTAAGCAAATGAATGGAACTATTAAGACTAGAGTTCGAGTCTCCAGATTCTAGACCAATCCTTTTCCCTCTACACCTTACAGTCTTTATAAACCAACTAACAAACTAACTAACCAACTCAACAAACACCCCACCCACCCAGTCCACTCATTTGGCAATAGAGAAATACATGACTTTTCTGTCTCACATTTAGCAATAGCTAAAATGTATGCACCAAAAAGGCCTTGATAAATATTTGGTAAATTGAATTTAACATAATCACCTCAGCAGACAATATTTTTATTGGGAAATTATATTTAAAGATTTTATTTATTTTATTTTTTCCCCCCAAAGCCCCAGCAGATAGTTGTATGTCATAGCTGCACATCCTTGTAGTTGCGGCATGTGGGACTCGGCCCCAGGATGGACGGAGAAGTGGTGCCTCGATGCGCACCCGGGATCCGAACCCGGGCCGCCAGCATTGCAGCGCGCGCACTTAACCACCAAGCCACAGGGCCAGCCCCTAGGAAATTATATTTAAAGGAAACATAAAGGGCCGGCCCCGTGGCTTAGCAGTTAAGTGTGCGCGCTCCCCTGCTGGCGGCCCGGGTTCGGATCCCGGGCGCGCACCGACGCACCGCTTGTCCTGTCATGCTGAGGCTGCGTCCCACATACAGCAACTAGAAGGATGTGCAGCTATGACATACAACTATCTACTGGGGCTTTGGGGGGAAAATAAATAAATAAATAAAATCTTAAAAAAAAAAATAAAGGAAACATAAAGCATATTAGCCAAACACAGAGGGGGAAATGTAAGTCTTTCTTAAGTAATCTGTAATTCTTTAGGCAAAATGAAATTAAACAATTGCTCAACGCATTTATCTTGTAAATGAAATGTTCCCTTACAGTACATCTTGTTAGAGTTTTGGAAGTCTGGATCCTCTTTATCCACATTTTCAGGCTGTGTGATAAATGTTCTGATATTTTCATCCAAGAGGAAACTTTTATTTTCATCAAATATTGTGGCAAGTAGGTAAAACTCTTTGTCTATTCCTTTCTGTGGATGAGAATAGACAAACGAATAGACATGAAGTACAGGTGGTCCATATTCAAAGTCTAGTCAAACGGCTGATCTGCACACAGGATTTCCCATACAAGGGAATTTGTGTAGTCCTGGAAAATCTGATCAAGTGACTTCTCCCCTTATGGAAATTTTATATAAGGGAGTGAATCCCAGTGAATGGATTTATCACAGAACTAAAAAGTTGGGAGAAACTTCTATGGCTGTTTTCATACAAAGCTCTTACTCAGTGACTCCTACATCTGACCTCCATAAGACTAAACTGTATAATCACAGATGTTTATAGTGGCTTTTCATAGGATGCTTTGTGGAAAGCAAGTCAAAATGTTTTCAATTCTAGAAAGCCTGCATTTTCAGGGTTTATGAAGAAATTAAATATGTATATATACTTATATTTTTGGATAAAATGTAAAAATTATATGTACTATAAGAATTATGAGACTATTTCATATGACTTTCATTATATAGATGAATATATAGTCACATTTTTAAATAAAATATACATTCAATTACACATATACTTATATTTGGGAATTTATAAGGCTTTATTACATATGAATTATAAATGCAGGAATGAACTTGGATGTTAGTTCCCTTGTGAGTGAGGAACAAGGGCATCCTCAGGCATTTATGGAGCACCTCCCACACGCTAGAGATGGGCCGTGGTTGTTACAGAAAGTTAATAATTAATGTGCTTTCAAGGAAATTCTAGTCTAGAGGGAGAGACTGGCCAGTAAAAATAATCACACAGTTGAGTGCTGTAATAGAAACCTCCACAAGGAACTAGAGGGCTCTGCGGGAACTTCAAGTAACATTAGAGAATATTGTCTGAAGGGAAGGAGAGGATCTTCAGTCCGAGTTTTAAAAATGTCTCCCCTTTTAGCGGGTAAAACAGTGAGGAAAGACCATTCCAGAGAGAAGGGCAAGGTCAAAGAGATGTGAATTAGCCTTCCTCACTCAGGGACTAGAACGCTAACCCTGCAGTGAGGCCAGAATGGCTTGTGCAGGGTGGACGAGGGGGCGTGAGTCTGGAGGGACCAGTGGGGTCTGACGTGCTGGCTCCTGAGCCAACAAATTGTGGCGTTGTAACTGCAGGCCCTCCAGGACCAGTTCAACCGACCCCACCTCTTATCAACAGAGTGATTAAGAATTGCCTTTCAGAAAATCTGCAAAGTCACGCAGCCAGGGCGCGACAAAAGAAGAAATCATGACCTGAAATGACCTCGAGACCAAAGATCCTCCTTCCCATGGAACCCAAGGACTGAGACACCACCAGAACTTGAAAGTCAGACTCTCAACAGAAGCGAGGAGTCGGTCCCTCATTCAGGAAGACTCAGTGTTAAAATTCCTTCCCCACCACATCGAAAATGTTTGGAACCTTACCATAAAAGTTTAGAACCTCATCATAAATGTTTAGAATGCTATCATAAATGTTTAAAATCTTACCATAAATGCTTGAAGCCCACCAATCAAAACCTGTCCCACCAGCATTTGTGCGTGCCAGCCTGTCCTCCCTAACTTCTTAAATTTCCCCCCAAGTCCTGAATCGGGCAGACAGATCTGAAGATCTGTCCTCAGACACGCTCTCTGTTCTCCCTGCAGATTGATCTCGCAGAAGAAAGCTGATCTCTTTTCCCAAAGGCTGATGCCATAATTAATTGGCTTGTTTATGCACATCGGGCAGAGAACTCCAATTTTGTGCAGTAACAGGGTGATTTTTAGTTTGGAGGGTGCTATAATCAGATTCGAAAGGGAGGGACGTGGAGCTATACTGAAGCAGGATGAGAATGGGGACAGGAGTTAGAGGGTTAAAGGAATTCAGAAGGAAATGATAGTGCCTAAAATAAGGCAGTGGTATTAGAAATTTGGTGACTAATGTTGGAGGTGAGAAAGAAGGAGTTGCTGAGAGAAGTCCCAGGCTTGGTGGTGTCATTAACTAAGAGATATAATAAAGAAAAAAAGCAGGAGGAGGGCTGGGTGGTGGCTGTCCAGAGGGAGACGAAGAGTTGAAATAGCCAAATGGAGTTAGAGTTGTCTGTGGAACACGCTAGGATGGGTGTACACTGGGCAGAGGAAGAGACGGGTCTGGAGTTGAGGAAAGAAGGGAGTCACACAGAAGAGCTGAAGCTGCTCAATGCCACATTGCCTTTCCCTGCAGTCCCGTCTCAGGCAACCTCTCAGCAAGGCACAACAGCCCAAGTCCCACGACTCACTTGTCGGCCCTCCTCTCCAAGACTTCCATTTCTGCACACGAGGAGAGGCCCTACAAGGCCGCTGTTGGTGTCTCTCGTCTGATTTACTGAGGAGTAGTATAACCAGGTCAGGCAGGTGGGATCTGTGGAGGTAGGACCCACGTCTCCTGGAACTTCCCAGGTATAGACAAAGGTTGAGCCAGGATTTACATGTGAGGAGGGTGGAGGGGTACCTAGTAAGAAATAAACATTTGTGAAGTAGGACCTAGGACCGAAGTACCCTAGTCTAGACTGTGGGATCTCTGAGAGCAAGGACTGTATCTTGCTCAACTTGGAGCACCTTGGGTGACACTTGAAAGGGGCTGAGGGAATCGCTCTGTCACAGTAAGTACACAAAGTTGTTGGGAAAAGTGGGCTACACAATAATTTTGGGAGGCGTTTTATTTTCTTGCTGGGGTTACACTGCAGCATGCCTGGCTCAGACCTCCCTGAGGCCTACTTACCTCCCCTGGGTGTTCTGTAGAATGAGCCCTCGTTGCTCTTGTTGTAGCGCAGTCCATGAGGATGGATGCTGAGCGGCAGGCAAGCATTGTTATAGAAAGTGACCTTGATGATCTGTCCCACCTCCGCCTTAATGACAGGCCCTGAAAGCAACAGAGTTAGCAGCTGTCCTTGGTTTTCATAAATGTAATTATCAGGTTGTATTACTTGGGTAAGGTTCTTCTAGGACCAAATTAAAGGGATGATGTTGTGACAGAAATGTGTCCACCTGCAAGAGGTCTAGATGATTCGGGGTCTTAGGAAGTCACTTTGGACCACACAAATATATTACTCTTGTTGGATTTACAGGGACACAAGAATGTTGTTTAAAATTGGGTGAATCAGAATGTATTGTTTTCATAAGGTTATAAGATGACCCCTAAAATCTCTAAAACTGAGTTGATTAATACCATTTTGATTGCACAGAATATGTGTAAATGGTGTTTATAACCCTGCAAGCTATCAATAGAATTTTACCAAGAATTCCAAGGTGCTCGTCTCTTGCCTTTTGCGTTCGGAAGGAAGCATCTGTGTATTCACGGTAAACTAGTTTTTTGTAAGTTCCCCCGATTCTGGTTGGGCTTTGTTCAAAATACGGCTGGGATTCACTGTCAGAGAAAGTAGATACACAAAGAACTTTTAAATTTACAGTGATCATGTGAAAAGAAAGCAAGAATCTACATACATCTGTTTTAAAGTTCTTGTAATTAGGTATAAAAGCAATTCATGCTCATTGTAAACAATTTGGGAAATAAGGAAAATTATAACGAAGAAAATTAAAATCTTCATAATCCCATCATCTATATTTAACACTGTCAATATTTCCATGGATGTCCTTTCCGTCTTTTGTCTATGTCTGTGTACACAAGTACCTATGTCTGTCTACCTAGTAGCTTACAGATTTTCTTTTGGAATAAAAATTAAACAGACATTATGTCTGATTTTTTCCAGGCAGGTAGTAACAAACATTGCTTTTAAAACAACTATGTGCAGAGATGCTGGAATGTTAAGATGAGAGCTAGCATTCTTATTTTTTTATTCTATTATAATACAATAAAATGGAATCCCTTGAGGAAAAGTGGTCCCTAGTAGTGAAGTGGTGACTTGCAGTGCTAAGACATCCTAGAATTTCACAGCTGGGAGAACCAAGCAAGCCAAAAGAATCTATTAAATCGTACTTATTTTAGTCAATATAAAATGAGGGTTGGACCTGACTCTGAATCAAATTTTTGCTCTAAGCGCATATATCTTTCTCACAATTAATAGAAAATGTCCTTTACACAGACTGAATAATTTATTGATGAGCTTAAAATATAAGAAGAGAAAATATTCTCTTGATATTCTTAGTTTCCTCAAATTTTCTGTGAATGAATTAGAGAAAAATAAATACCATGGGAAACATTATTTTTTGGTGGTTTTAGAACTTGATATTTTCTGGCACATAACTATCATTCAATAGACCAGAAGGATTAAAACTCCTGTAATCTTCAAATTGGTAAATATAGTTAGCAGTTGGACTATCAGAAAAATTTTTTGTGCACTTTTAAATGCTGATGCCACAGTAATGTATGTTAGTCTTAGTTTTTGGTCATTAAAGTAGCAATCAGTAATATATTCTTAGGAGTTATTGAGTAAAAAATATTTATACAGTATGATTTAAGGATATCACAGGAAATAACTTAATTGTGCCTTCAGATCTTAGCAGGAAATTATAAATTACACATGAAGAATGTTTTTAAATTTTCGTAAAATTGATGTTGTTAAATGTCTCATAATTATAAAATAAATCCATTTTAAAATTTAGTGCTAGGAAAAAGATGAACAGTAGGTTTTCCTTTGCATTGGCTGCTAAGGCATTTAAAGAAAAACTGTGTAGGGCCGGCCCCGTGGCTTGGTGGTTAAGTGCGCGCGCTCCGATGCTGGTGGCCTGGGTTTGGATCCCGGGCGCGCACCGGGGCACCACTTCTCCGTCCATCCTGAGGCTGAGTCCCACATACAGCAACTAGAAGGATGTGCAGCTATGACATACAACTATCTACTGGGGCTTTGGGGGGAAAAAATAAATAAATAAAATCTTAAAAAAAAAAAAAAAGAAAAAAACTGTGTGGCAATGATCCTTAGGCTCAATATTTTCCAATTATTGATATAATTATTTTTCTACCTTTATTTTCAGTAGCTTCTTATTATAAGATGCTGAACCCTTTTTAGGAATAGCTGGTTACAAAATTTCAGTTATCTTAACCATAAATATTTTAATCTCTGAGTCATTACCTTCCAGCTGCTGTTAAATTTTTTTTAGTGAAGAAATCTATGCCAGATGGAGCATAGTTCCAAAGAATTTCTTCAGCAGCAATATAGTAACAGATAACATGTGTCCCAGTAACATCTGTTGAAGGTTTTTGGCAATTCCTCACATTGAAAAAGGCCTGCATACCCTCTGAAAAACAGCAAACCCGAGTAGAGAATGTTATTGAAACATTTTTCTCAGTCCATATATATTTTTAATTTTAGCCAACAATATGGTAACTTCCCCTTTCTTTGAGAAATTTGAGGTATTTTACATATGGAATCTGTGTAAAAACCTAAAACGTAAGAAATAAGTACAAAGACTAGGATGCAAAGATGGATGTTAGAGGAATGGGTATTACTTAAGAATAATAACCAGCTTTGGGCCAACTCTTGCATGAAGATGGCATCTGCCTACTGAGAGGAATTTGAGAGTCTATTTGGCCAAAAACATCTTCTCACGTGGGTATGAAGTTGCCATCACTATTCACCAATGAGTTAGTTGTTTTATTAGATTAACTAGTTGGCAGACAGGAGGAAAATCAAGGAGGTACATTTCCATGAGGGCATCAGTGCTGTGTCTGGATTTCAGAGCACTGTTGGTGGCAGTATAAATTAGTATAGACTTTTTGGAAAGCAATCTGGCAGCATTTGTTAAAATTAAAATGCTTCCATTACATAATTTCACTTCTTGGTAGTTAGCCAAAGAAATATTTGCACATATATAAAAAGATACAAATAAAAAGGTGTTAACTACAATATTGTTAATAAATCAAAAAAGTGGAAGCAGTTTAAATGTCTATCAGTAAGTAAATGGTTAAATAAATTAGGATACACCCCAAATATAGAAAACTATATAGCAGGTTAAAAGAATAAGTTAGATGTATGGGGAATGTCATGGAAAAGATTTCAAGACATATTGATGAGCGAAGAAAGCAGGCAGCAGAATACCATATGTAGCGTGACCTACTTACATAAAACAAAACACAAAACATAGCTATGTATTTTTATTTCTACGCGTTCATACATATTGGGTGAAAAGGCACAGTAAACAGGTTTGCAAGTATTCACACCCAACTGATTACAGTGATTACTCTCTGGGAGAGAGGTGGGATGGTGGTGGGGTTGGGCTGGACTAATGGTGTATTCTTAAACCAGCTCTCTAAAGAAAAACACAAAAATCTGATTTATTTGCTAATTTTTGTGGTGTAAACACTCCCACTGTGGCAAATTTGAAGCTACCAAGAGTTTACCAGCTGGCTTATCTAACTCTTAGCTCTCTCGAGCTGGTATGAGCAGGCGCCCATATACTACTGTACCATGTTAGACTTCCACTTTTTCTGCTTGCTGCCCCCCACCTAATTCTCCCTCCCTCCCTCCCTCCTCTTCCTTCCTTTCTTTCCAGCAAAAGTCTGTTCATGTATACTTGTAATTACAAAATAACAATGTGCGGAAGTAAAAAAAAAAAAAAAAAAAAACTGTAGGACACAGAAAGAGAAGAAACACAGGAGAAAACTCTGCTGTCAAACAGCAGAGAAAACTCTGTGGTCAAGGAGCTTTCAGAAGCTTTCTCGATTGTGCCTAGAGCTGACCCTGTCCTTCCTGCAGTGCTGAGGGGGAGAGACCTGTTTTGAAGGCACCATCTGCCAAGGAGGCAAATAGGAGGAGTGGGGCTGAGTGCATATTTTATCCTGAAAATGATATTCCTTTCTAAGTGTGAACTTTTTTTTTTAAGATTTTATTTATTTATTTATTTTCCCGCCAAAGCCCCAATGGATAGTTGTACATCATAGTTGCACATCCTTCTAGTTGCTGTATGTGGGACGCCGCCTCAGCATGGCCGGAGAAGCAGTGTGTTGGTGCGCACCCAGGATCTGAACCTGGGCCGCCAGCAGCGGAGCGAGTGCACTTAACTGCTAAGCCACGGGGCCGGCCCTAAGTGTGAACATTTTTACCACTAAATTCAGTCCTTGAGTTATAATAGCTTGTGTGTGGTTCTCCTCTTCCCCATAGTCCTGGGAGGGACACAGCACATAGGAAATTCTGATAAATATTTGTGGTTTAGTTGTTTAAATAATTAATTGAAGCATGATGCCAACCAAAGTATGGGACTTAGAAAAAAGAAAGGTTTTGATCAGAGAGGTAAATTCCATTTTTGTACAAAAAAATAAAAGTTAAATTCTTCAGTTCTAATGACAATCATGTTTTCTGATTGAAAAATGAAACAAAACATTTACATGATTATATGTAGAGTTTGGTCATATTTAAGAATAGAAAAGATCAGTAACTTCATAACTGGCCATCTTATCATTCAATGGGAGTGTGACTAAAGAGGGAAATAAACTAAAATTAGGAGGTTTAGTGAGTACTGGATTAGAATTATTTGATCCTACGTAATTCCTGGCTCTGCATCTTATAGGGTTTTGGGCAAGTGTTTAACCTCTTGGAACTTGTTTCCTCAGTTAAAAAAAAGCTGTAACAATACCCACGCTGTCTGACACTCAGAGTTCTTGTAAGGCTCACAGGCTAATGACGATAAAAGTTTTTTTGTAAAAACAACAACCAAAAAACCCTATATACCTAAAAAGGTTTATTGTCATAGAGTTAAGACTGTCAGAGACCTAGGTTCCAGTCCCAACCTTGTCACTGACCTTCCAGAAGGCAATCCTATCACCTCCTTAGATCTCAATTTCTCCATCGGGAAGATGAGGCATTTGCAATGGGTTGTACCCTTAGAAGTTCTCCGACCCTATATTATGTAAAAGTAATAAATCCTTACCATATATCTGGCAGCCCACCATCCACTCTCCAGGGCCCTTGGCCACCATGAAGGCATCTACCAGCGAGGCAGGAAAGACGGTAATGGTGTCCTTCCTGTGATTCCGGGAGATCAGCGTTTGTCCGTGCAGGTAGATGGAGTGCGTGTCAGATCCACCACCCATGCCAACAAAATGCCACCTGACCTTGTCCTCTGCACACATGGTGAGATTGGGCAGATTTCCGTACAAGTATCCATTTATTGCTGAAAACACACGTATGGTAACCTATCAAACACGGTAGATCAGGGCCATTTCCTCGTTAGGTAAACCTCACTGCGTCAACACTGTTCTCACATATAATCTACGACAGGATTTGATTTGTGTTTCACAAAAGAGGAGGCCATAAACATCGTGTGTGCTTAGAAGTGATGGGGCACAAAGATTCGGAGTCAAGAGGAGCGACAGTCAGCTGACAGGCAGGAAGCAGTGAAGACGGGAGAAGAATAGGAAGAATCGAAGTCTGTGAAAAAGAGAGCCAAGATAAAGGCGACAGAACGCGGGCATCTTTCCCAAAAAATTCTTAATAGAAGCACATTTTCATAAAATGGCCACTTATGCCTTTGTTCTTTCACAGCATTTTGTTACCTTAAAATTGCATCTTTCCTATGCTTTTACTGTCTACTTTTGATCAATATCAGACTTTAGAAAACAGATGCACCTGCCTGACTTTACTTGCTATGAAACTTTGGAAACCGGCAGGATTTACCAGATGTCTTGCATATCAACCAGCAGACCCTGAGTGAAAGACTGAAAAATGTCAACTCAACTAAACAGCTTGAACAAGGCAAGTTACTAATTAGCATCACAGAGGTTAGAATTATAGGATACTGTGAATGAGAAAGTCCTTTTTAATCTTACAGTGCATGTGATTGCTCTCCTGGAAGCCAGGATCACTGGTATTAACTTGGCCAGGTTCAGTGTACGTATTAATGTTGTCATCGATATACCAGCTACTGTTTTCATCAGTTATAGAAAACATCAGAACAAAAGACTGGTCAATATTTTTTTCAGTGTCTCCATCCAGCGTGCCTGAAACAGAAAGAACAGCAAAACTTACTCTTTGCAATAACTATTTTTGCTATAAAATAAACTGGTGATTCTAACTCATTTGATTTAAAATATAAAAGTAAAATCTTGCACCTGCACAGACAGAGTCCTAAGGAACCAAGCATGCAAGGAACAGCAGACAGGCTCTCATCTTCCTAATTCCTCCCACCCTGCTGATTCAACAGGGTGAATCTATAGTAGAGCGATTTCTCTCTGTAGCAGAGAAAGGCGGCAGCAAGTTTGTGCTAAGGCGGCTAAGGTGAAGTTTGCCGGGTTTGACTGCCATCTAGTGACCAACGCGCATTATTGGACTGGACCTGAGACGTTGGACTCATGATCGCCACCTAGTGCTCAGAGTCCAAGATGGCAACTTGACTTTCCTGACTGGAGCCTGCAGGTCGAGGCAGGAAAAGGGAGCTCATTGGAGAGCAAAATTCCCCTAGGACAGCGAGGGAGAGCCCGCATGTTCTGGTTGACTGGCTGCAATAAGACTGAAAAATACATTACCTCTTTTACAAGTCAGAATTGGTCCAATAAGTCCTGAAGCCACATCTTTTAGAGTGTCTACATGGGAGTGGTAAATCCTCGTCACACAGCTACTGTCATTGGGGCCAGGCCCCTGATTTTCTTGCACAAACCACTTGTAAGTATACTGTGTCCCTGGCTCCAGACCGTCATCTTCCTTTTGCAGGCCCGTAGTGTTATCAGGATACAGAGCACCTAGAAAACATAACACGCACTGCGGTCATGGTAACCATTCGACAACACTGTATTGAATGTGACTTATGCTTCCGCCATTAAGCCATAAACGTATGTTAATTTGTATTTTTAGAATAAGGTGTGCATTTCCCCTGTCCTTTCTCCTGTCTCCTGCCTCCCTAGATCCACCTTATTTGGCTTCCACTTGAATGTCCAGCTTGGCTAGTTTCTAGACTAAATTGGAACAAGGCAGGCAGTATATTAACAAACTATCATCACCTTTATTGACAGATCCCACAAACATCTATTGTGCACCTGCTGTGTGCCTAGATCTTGGATAGAGAGATCCAGGCTCCTGAGTTGCCCTCCATCTTTTCTTATTGCAAGTCAGTTAGTCACTGACTTGGGTCTTTTGGGACCCAGGGCATCAAGAGGCATCCACGTTACCTGTGAGTAGCCATTGGAGTCCCCAGTGGCCCTCTGCACAGCTTACATTACCCTGAGCTGTTACCTTGGTTCTGAATCTGGGGCCCTGTTCCTTTTTCTTTCTTCTTCTCCTAGAATTTCACCATAGATCTCCACCTCTGAGGCTAGATCCCTGACATCTATGGATAAAATTCCTTCACTCAGTAGAAGACTTTGAAGTATGGCTAACCTCTCATCCTTTACCCGTGGACCCTCCTGCTCCATGTTGAACACAAAGCCCTATTTGTTGGCATTCTCTTCCCCTCCTTTTCCCACACCATTAGGCGGTTGTGAGTGTAGATGTCTAGGAAAGAAAATACTGTCTGGAAAATAGTGATTTCTCTTGACACTGATGTTTTCCAAGAGGCAAATCCTCATCCACTAGCAAATGGAAACGAGAACAGTGTTTCTGCCAACCTAACATCTAGCTCATGAGTGTCTCCTAAAAATTATTATTATTTTGTTTTTGTGAGTGAGAAGTGTGTTTTCTTTCCCAGGAATTGCACAAGGGTGGTCACTCATTTAAGATGAGCAATTGAAAGAGGACTGTCATGGATATAAACATTAAAGACATCAGAAGTAAGAGTCTGCCTTCACCCCAGACTACTCCTAGTTCATAATGATGACCAGTCCACGGCTACCTTGCTTTTCCTGAGGTATCGGGTTCCATAAGCAACAGCTCAGAAATGTGAAAAAAGAGGATCTGCTTACCTTCATTTTCTTTCGTGTAGGAGAGTCCGTGAGGATGGAGACTATAGATTCTTGAAGCAAAATTTTTTACATGTATATAAATGAAGTCTCCAGTCTCTGCCTTAATTATTGGACCTAAAAATCCCAACCATGATGGTTTCTCAACGATTGTTTGAAATGTATCATCAGTAAACTGAAAATACAAAGCCTTTTTATAGACAGATCCTATCCTATCTGGGGCTTGTTGTAGATATGTTTGGGACTGAAACTCTCTGTAAAAAATAAACAAACAAAAAAAGAGAGAACTTTAACAAATTTTGACTGGAAGGAAAACAATGTTAAATCAACTGAAACTAGAAGCAAGAAGCTTTTCAGCCTAATTTTGATAGAGAAAACTCAGACACTGGAAAAAATGTGGAGAGAGACAAAAAAAGTGTTGAAGGCAAGGAGAGCGTTGGGGCGTCTGATGAAGAGATCAAGCACAAGTGTAGCAAGAATATACATGGCATTTTGGCTTAAAAGACTTACTCAGTTCTTTGTACTGAACCACAAAAAGGCTTCTCACCCCATGTCGAGGTTACTTTAGCTCTCAAGCATTAGAGCAATTCTTATGACTTAGGATAGTTGACACATTTCAATGGATTTGTTGGTAGAACTGAGGGCATTTTGGCCAACAAACATAATAAATCAGAATCTCACTCATAACCTCCAGATTTCCTGCTTTCAATGGTCTGAAGAGAGAAGTCAAGAAGATGCTGCGGTTTTACAATCTCTGCCCTACACTCCATGTCAGAAGCGAAAGTATTGTTTTATAGCTTGAGCACCGCTCGAACAAAATCGATGATAAACACAGAATTAGTGAAGAGCCCTGAAATAACGTGTCACAAAAGCAAGAGTGGCAAGAATCCCAGGAAGGAGCAATTTCTGATTTATATTAATATCTGTCTTCCATGCCGTGCTTACACTAAAAAGACAAAGAAAGTGGTTTCAACAGCAAATATGCCCTTAAAGCGTCAGTCATGGGAAATTCTTCATCAGCATTTTATCAATGAGTAACAGGTACCAACTTCTGCTTCTGATAGGAACTTTTTCAAGGCAAAGGTATTACTTACTGATCTTCTGAAATAGGCTTCCCATTGAGCATATTTCTACCAGTAGGAGCATAGTTCCATGTGGTTTCTTTAATGCCTATGTGGTAGTGCCTATCTTTTGCCCAACCTGGAGAACTAAGAAAAGCCAGAAAGGTCAATGGTAAAAGCACCTTCATTTTCAAACCCAGAGCCTGGAGAGGCTACCTGGCTGACCCGTGCCTTCCTTTTATATCCAGGCTCTCTTCCTTTATTTGTGTCCATTTACATATGTCAGGGTTGGGTAAGAGCTCATCACTGGCTTCACCTATGTGCACGTCACTTCCTTTCTGAATGCATTTGGTATCCATTAGTCAGGCCAAGTGAATTGTTACGCAACCCCTAGAAAATACTGGTTCTTGACCCTGTCAACGTACACTGCCAGTTTAGAGCTTGCTGGAATTACTGGATAGGTGGGCTACCCAGATCGTCCATCATCCCCTGACGATTACTATCTGTTTCTAGATTATAGGAATCACCTCCAGTCTAGACTCCAGCCTCCATTTCCTCATTGTTCCCGTTCATCCTACAAACCATTCCCAGATTCTTCTTTAAATGTTACTTTTAATAAGTTATTCTCCTAGATGATAATTTAAATTCCCTCTCATTTAAGATTTTCTTTAAGTTACTCTCAAATTTCTTGACATTTAAGACTACCCATAATCTAGCCCCCAATCTGATATTCGAAGTTTGTCTCCATAATTCACTTAGGGGATCCCTCCCCTCTGGGAAGTTGTCTTATTAAGGACACAGCATGGGGTGGGGGAGAATACATAGGCAGTGGAATCAGACAGCTCTGGGTTTGAATCTTAACTCTGCCACTTAAAAATTGTGTGACCTGTGTGATTATGGAATTCAATTTTTTCATTTATAAAATGATAATAATATTACTTACCCAATTAGGAAGTAGTAACAATTAAATGAGACTGCACATGTTGTAGGGGAGCTTGGGGCATATAAGAAGCCTGGTACACAGTCAATATTTAACAAGTATAGTTTACCTCCCTTTCCCCATTGGTAGAATGGGCTTTCTGAGCTCATCTTATCACATGCACACCCATTCCCCAGCCTGGTATTCCCTCCCTCCCCTTCTCCCTTCCTTAGTTTATTCAGATTTTCCGCATTCTTCAAGCCTCAACTGATGCTTAGCCTCCTCGGGGAAGCCAACCCTTACCGTTTGGGCCTACAGACATCCCCACTTGCTGAATTCACCAGCCGTGTCATGGCCTGGCAATTAACCACACACGGCTTCATATTGTTCTTTAAATTTTCCTGTGGTATTTTCTCTTTCTCCAATAGCTGATAACTCCTATAGATTAGGGACCACTTCTTTTTATTCTGTATATCTCCTCGAGATATCAAGAAATAAATGTTAAATTTTTTTGGAACCAATCAATAGAGTGCCTTGGCCACGGTTACAATAAGGGGGGAAAGGAGCAGGAGTCTTTGCCATTGATCTGTGCGTCATTGTGTATTGGGACGTCCATTCCTATTCGGTAGTGTTGGAGACTTCACAGTTTGAAAGCCACAGTGGTTTCAACAGTCAGAGTGGCGGAGTGGTACTTTGATTTAGATTTGGAAACTCACAGTTAGAACTTTTAAGGTAGCGCAATCCTATGGCGCCTCTTGTTCTGCAGCGTGCTTCTATTCCTCAACTGTGTGTCTTAGAGACCTTTATGTACCACTACCTAGGAGTCCACTTCTTTCATTTTAATTGTAACATATTGTTTCTATTATGAATGTACTTCATTTGTTTTTTAAAACAAAATCAAAGTATATTTTTCCTGGGTATACATACAGATATCAATACACACTTAAAGAAATGCCCCCAAGTGTACATATCAAACTAAATACAGCTCTGAGAGGAAGAGAGAGGATTATTATATTTAAATTTTTTTATGTGGAGAATACATTTCTATATTACTTAATGTAAAAAATCAACAAAGTATTTGCAGTAAAAAATAATGAGGCTATAAATCTGCCTTTAAGCAACTGTTGCTAAATTGTACACAGGTCAAAACTTCCAGGCTCTCGTATCATAAAGTTTTTCACATTTGTGAATCCTTTGGTGAGTTTTAAGAGGAAGTTGGGTAAACAGCCCACTGTTTCAGTAGATTTTAATGTCACTAGCAGATGTTGGAAGGAATTCGGAAAAGCTAGGCCTGGAGAGACTGAGGTATGTGGAGAAACCACCCACAGGAGAACCAAGAGGAAGGGACTCACCTCTGGCACCCTTTGGGAAACGGTCGAAAGGGCTGGGGAGAAGACCCAGGTCAGACGTGCTGGGTCTCCCAAGAGAGGGGTTAGAGATGAGCTCTCTGACCTCAAGGAGGAGAACCAATGGGGTCGGAAGAGTTGGAAGCTAAAGTCTCACAGATTTTGCTCTGGATATGGAAGAACCTTGTAACTTCCCTGTCACCGTGGCCTAACCAGCTGCCGTAGAAGGATCCACCCATCAGGAAGGAGGGCGGGATTCCTTAAATGGGCATTCAAATGCCCCTTTATCCTGAAATTCTATGACTTCCTTCCTCATCCTCCCAGGAACATTGATTTTACTCTGGAATGTGGATAATAGAAGATCCATTCAGTTGGCATTTTTTTCCTTCGCTAAGAGCCCTGATAAGTGCAAAGAAGTCCAGAGCATTCAAATCACACAGATCTCCCTCCAGTTCCTACTCCACCATTTACTGTCTGTGTGATTCTGGATGAGTTACGTAATCATTCGGACCCTGAGTCCGCTTATCTGTAATGCAAGGGTAATAATAATTAAACCTCACGGCTCCTGTGAGGACCTAGCTTCCAGCCTGATGCAGAGTAGGCCTTTAAAGACAGTTAGCAACTGGCCCCACACAACGAAAATGGTGTTGGGAAATATTCGTTGTTTGCTTTCGTCTCAACAAATGACTAGGAAAACTGGCTTCCATTTTTTGGGGGGGTTGCGGGGGAGGGAAGCACTTTTTCTTAGGTAGTGTTATAATTTATGCCTTGTCAATATGGAAATAATTTTTGTAGTCCTGCCCTTCCCTTCCTGCATAGCCCTCAGCAGATCTGTTTTTTGGTGATGCAGCAATATTGAAAGTCGCCATTATTTGACTATATTCTTGGTTCGTAGCCCAAAAACATGAGGCGACTTACTTAGCTAAGCTTTATTGAATTTGGCCCAAAGGTGTGAGCTCAAACAGCTTGGAGGAAAATTTAGATTCCTTCCTGGTTTTTCCATTCCACAACTGAAAATAAGGTTGGGAAATAAATAGAGCACATGAAAATATGCAGAAGAACCCAGTGATAACAGCATCTTACTTTTGTAAAAAGCTTTACAATATATAAAATATCTTACAAAAGAAAAATATTACCCTATGTAATCTTCACAACACTCTCCCCTAACCCCCATTCCTTATACCTGTTTAGTAGACGAGGTCTCTAAAGCTCCGAAGGTCAAGTGAGTTGCTGCAGGATGCATACTTCCAAGTTATAGTGCCAGGAGTCCAATACAAATCATTGGATTCAAGTCAAATGTTTCTTCCATGTGACCTTATTAACTGGCTTCAATAGTTTAAGTGTGTTTACTTCTATGTTATCAACAAATGCTAAGTTTTGCTCAGAATGTATGACTCTAATCATATCTTCCAACAAGACAGACCAATGAAATATAAATGATGTGGGGGCAAGATGGGGAGTTTAAAGACTTCTCATCCATTTTTTTTTAACATCCATTTCTATTCTTTCTATTACTTCTACCAGTAACCACCATTTGTTGCAAGTCAGATCTTCCTTAGCCGTTTTCTAAACATTAACTCTAATTGTGTCAGCAAATCCTGAAAGAGAAGTTTATTAAGTTCTTTTTATCTGGAACTTGGGGGTTTTAGACAACTTGCTAATCTAGCTACTCTGCAGAAAACTATCAACCAGATTATGTTGTTATTAGTGCTGTAAATAGATGACTCAAACTCAACTTGCCCAGATAGGAACTCCTACAAATTCTAGTTTTAGCTCCAACCTGTTCAGAGCTTGGAAGTCATCACTGCCGTCCTTACAACAAGAAACACTGGGCAAACTGGAAATCAATGACTTCTCTTGCACCCATCAGAGAATGGAGTTTGTGGGGCAAACCACTATTCCCAAATCTGGAGAGTCAGGTGGATCTAGAGAGTCACAGAAGAGATCTACTTACATGGAGCAGAAGTTGCTGGAGCCATAAACTGGTAGGAACACTTAAATGGTAGTTAGAGTGAATTGCTGGAGGTTGAATACAGACTAGCATGAGAGTGAGGGGGTACAGCCTTACTAGGGCCCCCCCCCATACTTTCATGGGCTTTATTTCCCGGAACACCACCAGGTTCTCAAGGTGGAGATCTGAGAAAGGTCCCCACATGGTTCTGACAGGGGAAGGAGAAGAATAAACCTTGTGAAGTAGACCCAGAGACTTCTCCATCACAAAGTCTTCTCCAGGGGGAAGACTTTATCAGAGGCTTGTCCCAGAGCCATGGGGGAAGGGTATCTCTCTCAGTCCGGTCACCTATAGCCTTCCTGTTCACCTAAGGGAGAGAGGGGGTGCTTTACAAGAGGAAGCACTTGTGAAGGTCACAGGCCAGAAACAGAGGCTGACTGAAAGACTGAGATTTATTTGGAAGATTATAGAATGCTCTCCCTCCCTTACACCTGGCCATGATACAAACAGAGCTCTAGTATAATAACAGTGGAGTACAGCTGAAAGAGCTCCAAGACACAGACTGTCCCTAAGAAGGCATACTTAGGGGAGCCCAAAGTCAAGAGAGGAGTTAAAAAAAAAAAACGAAAAGGACACTAGAGGAGTTTGAAGCCTCTGGTACCTGCAGTTATAGCAAACAGTAAACAAAGCCCAGCTCCTAGCTGGATAAACAGTCACACCAAAGGCCTATTTACCTCACTTCCTGTTACCCAACACCACATCTTTAAACTAAGAATTACAAGGCATGCCAAAAAGCAAGAAAAAACAGTCTGAAGAGACAAAGCAAGTGTCAGAACCAGACTCAAATGTGACCCAAATGCTGGAATTGTCAGACATGGAATTTAAAATAACTATGATCAATAATATTAAGGGCTATAATGAAAAAAGTAGACAGCATGCAAGAACAGATAGTTAATGTAAGTAGAGAGAAGAAAATTCTA